ATCCCAAGGAGTTTCCCGAAGATCCCCATTTTTCATGCACGAAGAACAATGAAGCTTTTTGGAATCTTCGGGAAATTCTATTCTATCCTACTCAAGCAGGAGCAGAGGAACGAATTTTCAAAAGTGTGGACTAACCGGAGGGGCTCCTCCGATTGGAAAATTCATTTCTCCCCCCCCCCCTAATTCAGAGAAAGGAATGAAACCGACGCCGATCGATCGAGAATTTAATTCTCAATGAATGACAGCGGTTTCATCCCTTAATCTCACGTAGGAGCGGAGGAATGAATTTTCAAACGTGCGGACTAACCGGAGGGGCTCCTCCGATTGGAAAATTCATTTCTCCCCCCCCCCCTAATTCAGAGAAAGGAATGAAACCGACGCCGATCGATCGAGAATTTAATTCTCAATGAATGACAGCGGTTTCATCCCTTAATCTCACGTAGGAGCGGAGGAATGAATTTTCAAAAGCGCAGAGTAACCCCGAACGGCTCTTCGGAGGGCCTCCCCCGATTGGAAAATTCATTTCTCCCCCCCCCCCTAATTCAGAGAAAGGAATGAAACCGACGCCGATCGATCGAGAATTTAATTCTCAATGAATGACAGCGGTTTCATCCCTTAATCTCACGTAGGAGCGGAGGAATGAATTTTAAAATCGTGCAGTAACTCCGGACAAGTGCTTCTCATTCAAAAATTAATTTCTCCTTTCCCTAATTGAGATGTAGAAATGAAACCAAAACCTACCGATCGACCATTGTATTTTTAATAAATGACACCGGTTCCATTTCTTAATCTCCGTTAGGAGCGGAGGAATGAATTTTCAAAAGCGCGGAGAAACCCCGAACGGCTCTCCGACGTCGAGTGAGCTCGGAGGGACTCCCCCGATTGGAAAATTCATTTCTCCCACCCTAATTGAGATGAAGGATTGAAGCCGATGCCGATCGATCGAGAATTAAATTCTCAATAAATGACAACGGTTTCATTCCTTAATCTCAAGTAGGAGCGGAGGAATGAATTTTCGAACGCGCGGAGAAATCCCGAATGGCTCCACGGCGTCGAGTGAGTCCGGAGGGGCTCCCCTGGTTCATTTCTCCCCCCCCCCTAATTGCGGAGAGCGAATGAAAGCAACATCTATCGATCGAGAATAATATTCTCAATAAATGACCGTGGTTTCATTTCTTAATCTCTATTAGGAGAGGAGGAATGAATTTTCAAAGCGC